AAATAAAGGAAGAAGCAGGTAGTGCTCGCAATTAATTTCTCCGGCTGAGAATGAAAAGAAGCTAATGGTAAGCTTCTGATTAAGAGTACTAAACATAGGCTCTGATGAAAAAGGCATCGGAAGAGCGGAGGACTTCATGCTAAAGCTGGAATGTAGCCGGTGATGGTAGCATGGGGGCAACGCGTATGGAACGGTGACGATTCTCTCTGTATGTGCGACAGCACGCGTGGGAGAACCACGAACAATTGGCTGGAATGTTAAGAAGTGCCTGCTGCTGAAAAAACTCAAGTTGACAGGGGCAAAATGAGGGGATCAGTCCTATTACGAGTACGGCCTCTGTCTATTTTGAAATACGGGAGCAGTGATTGCAACGGTCTAGTGGAATAATGGCAAAGTCGCAGGATCTTTTTATATCATCAGCGATGGAATTAAAAATTCAGGGCAAGAGGTCACGAAGAACCCCAAGGAAGGGATAGGGGGATCTATCGAGAAGGACCTCGTTGAAATCATATCGTTGAGGGGGAGGATGTGTTGGAGAGGAGAAAAAGGGTTCACGTCAACGTGGTCACGACGATAGGCAGATGAAGAAGACGCCAAGGTAAAGACACAGCTGACCGTATTTAGTAGAGTCGAAAGCCGAAAGCCAAGGTGCTGAGTCACCGAAAGGTTGAAACTACGCGAAAGCTGATGGATTCCAAAAGAAGCGCTGTTTCTAACAACGAGCATCAGAAGAGTAAATCGGGAGGAGACGCAAAGAGAAGCAAGCAGGGTACAGCATCATGATGTGTGAGATGGATAGTGGCGTCAGTAGGACCCTCCTCTCTGAAGGATCTCGTTACGACCCCCCCCCTCCCCGGTACCTGTTCCACCATTCTTCCTACATGTTTTCCAGCCTTACTACGGCTTTTTTCTCCAAAATTTCCCGAAAATTTGGTACTTTTTTCCCAAAAGAGCAGGAGCGGAGGTCCTCAGAAACCAACTATCATCCTACTATATATAATCCGCTAAGTTTGTCTGTTGGCTGTGTGAGTGTTGTGTTGTGTGTGTAGAAAAGAGATATGAGAGATAAGTGTGTATAGTGATGATAATGAAATGTGTGAAATAGTGATGATAGTGTGATAATTAGAGAATAGTGATAAATAAGAACCACCGGAATTACTAAACTTTCCTATCAAAAGAGCGAATAAGCAGCAAGCAAATTCAATAAAGAGAATGTAGATATAGGAAGAGATCAGAGACACAAAGGAAACATATAAAACATTAATGGTGGGTGGCAGGAAGTGATAAGAGCTGATAAGATACCATACCGGGGCTTAGAAGGGGAGGGTCACCAACTCCATAGCGCGGGCCACAGCAGCGATGGGGCGTTGGTTTCAAGAGGTAAGATAGGGTGCAGGATGGGAACATTATTGGTGGGTGACAGGCCATGATAACAGCTGATAAGATACCACAAGGGGGCTTAGAAGGGGTTAGTTGCCTAATTCGTAACGTCGGCCACAGTAACGACCGGGCGTTAATTCCAAGAGGTAAGATAGGGTGCAGGGATGGGAACATTATTGGTGGGTGACAGGCCATGATAACAGCTGATAAGATACCACAAGGGGCTTAGAACGAGAGGGCCACCAACTTCATAGCGCTGTTCACAGCGGCGGTATAGCTTGCTTCCAAGGAGTGATGTAGGGGGCAGGATAGGATCATTGTTGATGGTGGCCAGGAAGTGATAACAGCTGATAGGAAAGCATAAGGGGCTTCAGAAGAGGAGGGTCACCAACTTCATTGAGCGGGCCACAGCGACGGTAGAACGTTCCAAGAAGTAGAATAGAGGGCAGGATGGGAACATTATCGGTGGGTGGCCGGAAGTCATAACAGCTGATCGGCAATAAGATACTATCGTTGGAGAGGAAGCCTTAAAAAAAATCCATAACAGGAATTGTGGTAACACGGGATCTGCTTCTAGCACGTAACTCGGGAATTGGTTTTACGAGACAAGTTGTGTGAACTAGATTTTGTAGCCCAGAATCAATGGGCAAAGCCGTGGTGAGTTAAGATTTTTATTCTTCAGCGATGTAGTTGGAACGACCGCTAAATCCACGATTTCGACAAAAAGTAATAGCTCAAATTGTTTGCCATTGAGGAATTATATATATGCAGATATATGAAAGCTGCTCAGTGGAAGTACTAGGACGTAATTTCACTTGGATTCTGATATTGTTACCATCGAATCTCTTTCAACCGCTAGGCTGTCCTATTTCCAAACAAATGGTGGGTGTTCTCAGATTTTGATAAGCAGCCGACACTGGCAAATGTTCATTAAAAAAGAGAAATGCAATACAATCGGCCGTATTTCGAAACATGGGGAATTAAGCAAGTTATGCGGCCACACACCAGTAATCGACAGTGGACCAGCCTACCATGTTACTTTGCGCGCAGTATGTGGCGCGACAGTCAAACTGGTTTTCAACTATCACATAGTAGTCATATAGAACTTATAGAACACCAACTAGGGGGAGGAGGGAGGGGCTCACAAAAACACATACGACCACCTCCCTCCTCCCCAGCAGCCAGTACGACCCCCCCCCATGGTTCGCACCAACGATGCCGTACCCTGAAGCCAGTAAATGAGTGTGAAAGAGGACGCACTACCGATGCGAGACTCAGCGACCGACGGAAAGAGCGGCCCAATGAAAGAGGCCTTAGACCTCATGAGCTCCATTTTTACTTCGACCAGAGGCAAGGTTGAGGAGTGGAGGTGATAGGGCACAGTAGCGCCTTGGCTATAAGCAATTTCGATCCTGAAAAGTCACAAATACTCATAGGGGGCTGCGCACCTTTTCCCTCCGAGACCTTTTGTAGGTCAGTATTGTCGCTGACTTGGTTTTGAAAAAAAAAGTAAACAAAGCCTCATTCAGAACGAAAAAATTGTGCTAGTCAGCCTTATTCAGGCAAAGGGCGCCTCCAAAAGCGTTAGTCCGAGAAACCTAGAGAAGAAGGTTTAGAAGGTTCCAGAAAAACCTGATGACAAGGATGCTGCTGGCTCTTCTTATGGTATAGCGATAATATTCTGATTCCTGACAATACGGCATTGCACAACATTATAATAAAGAACTTCAATTTCAGAACGCGGAATGCCTCAGTTGAATTATTCGAACAAAGCAGTCGAGATATGCACAAAACACGCCTCAACCGGGATTCTTTCGCGAACCATCTAATATTTCGTAGATTATTTCAGTTTTTGAAGCAGGCCTGCTCAATAATTGCCCATCTTTCCTTCCTTTTAGACGGAGACACTTATGCGATTTGGCGAACTTGGCGCATTACAGGAAATCCATTTTGCTGCAATGTGCCGGAACAAGCAGCGCTTCCTAACTAATGAACTCGACATAACACAGCACCTTCCACCTTAGACCAGTTAGCTCCCTGTTCCACGTGAGTGACGCCACTTGCAATGCCACGTCGTCATATCCTACGGCCTGCTAGAAGTCAGAAGTCCTTTTTTGGGCACCCTTTTACAGGATCCTCTCTCTCCTCTTCCCTGATGATTTAGTTGGTCCCTGTCCACCATGGCACGCCCCATTCAAAAACCCATTCAATCACTGCCCAACGTGAAAAACTCTTCCTTCCACTGCGACGCGGTCCACCGAAGAAAGCACAGGGGACGTACCATCTCCGCGTCTCGAGTAACTCACAAGAATCACAAAAGTCTCCGAGCTGCGCCCAGGATTACAATCGTGCATTTCCATTTCTCGGGGGTGCAGTCTCCTTTGGCTGTTCTGCGTGTTCTCACCATTTTGCCTTCTCTTCTGTATCTTCTCCAAAGGTATCTCCAAGCTGCCTCATATAAAAACTTAGAACCAACACCGAGTTTTATTTGGAGTACTTTCAATCAGTTTCATTGCTTTTTATCTTTACTGCGGAGCTACTTAGCCCTTCGTACTCGCGTTTAAACCCTCTGCGAGGTATCTCTTTCAGTGCATGACACTTAATATGCAGGGACCTTTCCACCCCGCCTATGAGCAGCTTATGACGAAATTAACCCTGCAAGTTAACTTACATAGTTTATGAATGAATTCTCACTTGAGTTGCTCGAGAACACTCTTATTCTATATATACTTTTACTCTTTATTTGCGGCACTTTTGTTCTTTTACTATTTGTAACAATGGTGGTTCTTTTTATGTTATTTCTTCGGCTGTCAATTCTTGAAACAGCTCCAACTTTTGTTCTAGTACTTTTTTTAACCATAATACCAACACGCACTTTTAAATACAACTCCCCGTAACATCTTCTCATTTCTTGGAATGATACGAGCATGTTGCGTGTTAGTTTTGATCTTATCCTTCTTTGTAGTACGTTGGGTTTGATCAGTGTGTGCCCTAGAAGTTCTTTGCCTTTTGTTCTTCGAGGAACTGGAAGACTTTAAAGAGGATCTGTGCCGCCCTTCGTTTCTTGAACTCTTGCCAGTTTTTGATCTAACAACTTTTCTCTTACTATCTCTTGAACTACTCTGAGCTTTTGTCTTACTATTTCTTAAACTGCTCGAGGCTTTTGTTTTACTCCCTTTCCTTTGGACTGAACGATTCGAATCGGCACTTTTTCTCGGTCTTCCTCCTCCTGGATTCTTGCCACCAAGTTCTCTGCTTTTTCTGATTCTGTCCAGTTTCGACATACGAGTGCTATTTATTTTCGATCCTCTATGCTTCGAGTTGCGAGTGCTGTTTGTTCTTGATCCTCTATCTTTACTTTCAATGCCATGCCTTCTGCTACCAGTATTCTTTTTGAGAGACGATTCTCGGCCCATTATGGCTTTCATTTCACCTAGTAGCGCAAAACGTATTACCATACAGTATGAGATCAAACGAATTTTAACCTTGAAATGAGTGTATGGTGCTAAGCCCACTTGGGAAACTTTCTTGGAAGTTTTGCGAAGCGTTTGCAGTTCTTCCGTTCCCACATGGCAGTGCAGGATCAGTGTTGTTTGATTCATCTGGACGGAACTCACTCCTTAAGTCGATGTCATCTCCGTGCCTGAAAAAGACGGTAAAGACCTAGGGCCACGACCTAAAACCGCATTCATATACTCAGTTCACAGCGGACGGTTGGGCGTGTCAGGCAGTATGAGTGTGTCACCCCGTCAAAGCCGTCTCTGCCTTCTTGTTGAAGCGCGCATGCGACAAAAAGTGGTAGAAAACGAGTACGAACGATATGATACAGTCATATCACTTGCTCGCTTTAACAACTGGTGGAGAACGGGTTTGGCACCGCGCCAAACTCATCCCCCCGCCTGACACGCCCAGTGAACTAGACTGTATGTACACATATATCCATGCAGCACCGCAGCCGCTTCTTGTACTTCGCAAGTGAAGCAATACGAGCA